GCTTTTAACCTGGCGCTTATAAGTTACAAACTTCGTGTTGTCTAAGATAGGAAGAAAATGAAGGAGGACCGGAAAAGGTGGAAAAATTAGCTTATTTTTATGTGAAATTTGAATAACTGGCGTATTTTTAGCGCATTAAAACGATACCAAAAAGCATTCGCATTTATATGGTTGGTGACTTGCACGGATTTTGAGTTGACTGATGCTATGCATGAGTTTTATTCGTTAAAAAAGGACTCCAAAACAGGTTTCGCATTCATTCATTAAATCAGTTTTTCACAGCTTATGATTTGTTTATTTCTTTTTTTTTTTTGAATTTTAATCCATCCTAGCGCATTCATGCGTTTTATCAACTTTTAAGCCTTGATTCATTTTTATCAATAGGCAATTAATTTAATTTGTTAGTTTTATTACTGTAGTTTCTTTTTTATTACTGCTATAACTTTTATTTATTAGTTTTAGTTTTATTACTAAATTTTTATTACTAAATTATTAAATTTTATTGCTGTTATTATTACTAAATTTTTATTACTGTAATTACTGTAGCTAGTTTTATTACTGTAGTTACTGCGGCTGGTTTTGTTACTGTAGCTACTGTAACTGGTTTTATTACTGTGAATTTAAATAGAAATTGACGTGGTCATGTGCTGATTGCCTTGTAATAAGTGGTTTAGGTAAGCTGTTTCTTCGACTGTAGAAAAAATGAGCTGAAATGTTTATCGAGTAATTCCTTGGGCACAGAGCTTGAACTGAACTTTAGATCATAAAACGGATACCATTATTGCTATGGCTCAGAAACTTGGCTTAGGCACCTACGTTTTTAGTATAGAAAAGCTGAATTTTGTCAAATAACGGGTTATAAAGCCTAAGGCTGGCCGTTTACTGCCCAATTAGAAATCGGTCAGATCCACTTTCGATGTTTTGAAACTAGAATGGATGTATTTAACGGGCTTACGAATAGCGCTTATTCTCAGTGTCTGCGTTTTATTGTAGAAGAAAAGTTTGGGTTAAGTATCAGTTTTTCAGATACAAAGCAAATTCTGAAATTATTTTCTGCTGCATTCTCCCGGATGTGTGACGTTTTGAAGGAACTTCGGAGGTATATTTGCTACACCGTAAGTGTTTCATTTTGATTCGCTTTACATTTCTTTGATATTCATACTTGGAATGCATAGATTCACAGTACTAAAACTATTGCTTTTGAGGTACGTAAAATATAAATTTATTAAAAAAAATGATTAAATAAACAAGATTATTTCGGTCCATTAAGTCGCATACATTCCTTTTCAGCACGGTTGTGTTGTTGAAAAATTAAGGTTAGTTTATAAGGTGGTAGTTTGAATATAAACATTATATAAGAGAAAATATCTGTGAGGTATGGAATAATAAAAAATTCATAGCGCAGTTTGTATTTGACAATTTTTTCACTAGCTTAAACCAGTGCCGCATGAAATCTTTTTCCGGATTTATCAGAGCATATTTTGAACAAATATCTGTTTTTGCGTTATTATGATCGATGAGCTTAGCACAGTGAGAAGTGGTGGTGTTGTCATGGTGTAGGAGAAAAGTTCGTTTCCGCTGGCGAAGCAACCCATTTCTGTGAATTCTGTCATTCGCTTCCGTAGCAAGTTGATACAGGCACGTAATAAGCAAATAGCGCTCTTGTAATTTTAATTTTAGATGATGTGTGTTTATGTAAAAAGTAAGGATTAAAAGGAAGGAATGAAAGGAAGGTGAATGGGATAAGTCGGATTAAAAAACCTGAATAGGAATGTTTCGGTCCAGTAAGTCGCATACATTCCTATTCACTGCTGCAACTGGACCTCGTCATTGTGACGGTTGCAACAAAAATAACATGCAAAGTGTCATCATACTGAGGATCCAGGCCGACTCCTGGAACGGACAGCTTATCTTTCAACCGCTCATTTATTTGTTCCCGTGGTAAATTGATACATGAGCATGCGAGGGAGTCAAGATCACCGCGCTTATAAGCAGCGCCAGAAGGTGCCGTTCCACCGTGTATTTGCTGCTAAAGCTACTACCACTCGAACTATTTCTGAGTGCCTCAGCCTGTCATAGGAAGTGAATCTGGTGAGGTTTTGACTTTTGACTTTAGCATAAGTGATAGAAGCGGCGTACGTCGGCAACAGGTAATGGTGCTTCTGTACTTATTGCCCCGTAAATTCACCTGTGTCAGGAGCTTATTGCTCAAGAAAGTCCTGGATGAGGGAGCTATCGAAAGCCTTTCCCTTGAATGGTTGCCTCTGGGATTACTGTTATATTGACCACCTTGAATATCTTTGTTCTTTTTTTTTTGCAAGGTTTTAAGTGCGGAATGTGTTTCGGTTGTGAATTTTTGTCTGGATATTTTAGTTTTATGAGTTCAGAACACTTTAATTCGCCTCACAATCCACCTTTTTCAGGTTACACTGCCTTTGCAGGCAAAATTTTCCCAAGAAATTGACGGTATTTATGGCGATATCGATGCCATTATAGAAGTACATGAGCGATATCTTGACGCTTTAGAAGAAAATCTATTT